ATCTGACATCTTTTATTAGACCATTTCAGTTGGTCTAATAAAAGATGTCAGATTTACCCCAAAACCGTCTATTATACATATATACACATATACATGTATGTGTGTATACTTATATAAGAAAGGGCTTAGTCCGCCTGTCTGTCCATAACGCTCTTGGCGCACTTGGGGCTGGGGGAGCTGCCACATACCACCCCGCTCCTGCCCCCCGCCAACCCCAGGAGCAGGGGGAGGGAAGCTTGCCCTCCCCAGGGCCGTGGCCTCACCCCCTACCCCATCCAGATCATCACGATGGTGCTGCACACTTTGATTGGTTGTTTCACTAACCAATCGGAGTGCTCCAAGAGTGTTATAGACAGATGGACCAAGCCCTTTAAGAATAATATTATAAGTTCCTAAGTTTGTCTGTCTGTCTGTCTGTAAGGCTTTATTCGCGCTCTGATTGGCTGTCTCGGCCTTCTGCTAGAAGGCAGCTCGCTGCTATGATGGTGGGGAAAGAGCAGGGGGGGCGAGGTAACGCGGGAGCGGGCCCGAGCGGGGGCAAACCCATCCTACTCGCCCCACCATGAAGGCGGCTGCGGTCACGGGCGCGGCCCCGACCCGAAGCGGCGGAGGGGGAATGGCCCTGGCCCTGGCCCTGGCCCTAGCCCCAGCCTGAAGGAATAAGGGGGAGCGGGGAACGACCTTGATCCCAGACCAAAGTGGCAGGGGAGGGAGGAAGGGAGCGGGCCTGGCCACGACCCAAATTAGCCGCGGGGAACGCCCCAGGCCGCGGCCTAAAGCGGCGGTGGGGAGAGGGGAAAAGGCCCCCGGCCGAGGGTGGGGGGTGCAGGCCTCTGTCCCTGTACACACCCCCTCTTCATTCTTGACGGACAATTCGCTAGTTCTATTATAAAAACCTGAGTTTCTCTTTGCCTGCCTGTCTGTCCGTAACGCTTTATGCGCACTCTGATTGGCTGACGGAAACAGCCAATCAGAGTGCTCCAAGCGTGGGGAGCTGAGCAGTGATTCCAAAGCTGCACCTTGGACCAGGCAGCGGATGAAGCCCCCCCCCGCCCACACATACAAACACACGCACTCCCTGCAAGACGCAGAACAGCAGCATCATGGGGCATTAGGTGGTGACACCCCATCCCAGCCGCCCCCCCCCCGCCATTCTTGACAGACAATTGGCTAGTTTATTATATAAAAATATAAGTGTGTGTGTATGTGTGTATAATATATATATAAATACAATATACGGATTATGAGCCGTGTGTGTGCATGTGTATAAATAAAATACAACATGGGGATTATGAGCCGTGTGTGTGTGTGTGTGTGTGTGTGTGAATAAATACAATATAGGGATTATGATCCGTGTGTGTGTGTTATTTAGCCAGTCTACAAAGGTACTTCTCTAGCTGCCTTCTGAGTCCAGCCAGGGGCCATCACTAGGAGAGGCAATGCACCCAGGTCTGTTAGCACAGAGACCTGAAGGGACTCGGGTTTCTCCATTCTCCTGCTCCTGCCAGGCAGGGAGGAGAGTTCCAGTCAGCAAGGGAGAAAGTTCTCAGACAAAGGTGGTAGGTGTGGCCTTGCATAAAGAGGAACTGCTTCCTTTATCAAACATACTTTGTAGTGGCAGAGTCCTACTCACTGAAAGCACAGGCAAAGCATTTCTAAGACAGGCTCTGATGGAGGGAGCTGGTGCATGGGAAAACTTATGCATGTCTGATTCAGTTAGTCTATAAGGTACATCACTACCTTGCCTTCTTTGTAAAGTAATTCACAGCAAGCCTACAGAGCCTGGGAGAATACCAGGTTTCCACAGGAAATGTCAGTCTAGGTCTACTAAGAAGGAACTGGCTTCAGCTTGATAAAGACTGCAAAAAAAAACATTTGGAAGATATGAGTTTTTTTCTCCCCTGGGACACTGATAAGCTTTCCCACCTGTTTGTATTTAAGTGCCCTCCCACCCATGAAAGCCTTCCTGGTATATTCCGAGTCCATGTACTATGGTCCACCTGTGCTATCTTAGGTGGAGGAGAAATTTTAATTGGAAGTAAATTAGACTAGCTGACTTTGAAACAAAGCAGCGGTATCATTCACTCTTTCTGAAGTACTGTAATCTGAAGTGCTTTCTAATCATACGATCTTTACACAGAACCATAGCCCAGAAATTTTACACTTGTTTCCTTCATGAACCTTTCATGAAATCCATGCACAGGATTATCTTTTACCCCTCGTGGATTCTCAGTTTTGGAGGTAGTTTTCTTGGCCATAGAAATAAAGCTTCCCTAGTCTCTAGCAAACTTTAATAGCATCACAAAAATATTTCACAGAAAGTTCGTAAAAACTACCCAAGTGTAAAGGTGAGGATCTGCCATGCTTTCAGGGTCCTGTCAGAGTGTGGGGAAACTTCTGAGTTCTGCTGACTTTCCCAATCTAGCTTCATAGTTAGACAGGCATTCAGGCTGTAAAAAACATTACTGCACTTCTGTCTTTAGAAAAAATGCTTCATATGAGACTTTTCCAACTAAACAGCTCTAACTGTAAGTGTCTGTACATCCTACACTCAGACCTTGGCAAGGTGACAAACTCTGCTGCACCCAAAACCTACCTGGCTTCTTCAGACTTGTATGCTCAGACTTGGGTGGTGGCTGATGTGCAAATGGTCACTTCTCTCAATGTGCCACAACATATTCTTATTTAGATTCTTCCACATCTTCCATCCTGGCTTGCAATAATATCCAAGCAACTATGTACCCAGAGGTTGCTCCAACTGAACACCAATTATGAGCAGTTCCATAGGAGCTGAAATATTGCTGTAGACTGAAGTGGAATAGTCCTTGCTTTTCCTTCAGTTTTATGCCCCCCCCCCCCTTGATAAGAGTAAAGAAATAGTAGTTTGAGAGCACCTATGTTGGTTTTGTCCTGTGGGAGAACCCGGCAAACACTGGATGATGTTCTCTGGGCTAGGTAAAACAGTTCTAGGTCTAGATCAAATCACCTGCCTGGTGCAAATCAATGATACATTGGTGAAATTAGTCCAGAACTCCCTCTGGATCCCTGGGATTCTGTCTACGCTTATACAATGCTTTGTAAAAGTTAGAATAAAAAAAAACCAATCCACATTGATCATCTGGAGTTTAGCATAAGCACATAGAAATATCTTGAATTTTTCCCCTCACAAGCTTTTTGTTGTATTTCATTCACTGTTACTGTTCCATTTATCATTCCTGAGTTCTCATGCAAAGCAATTTGAATGATGGAGGGAGGGCAGGGAGGTGAGGAGAAGCTTGAAATAGAACTACACCTTTTCTAAGTAACTTTGCTTCTGCATCTATTTTTGGTGAGTCACACCTACATTCTCTGGTTTGTCTGCATAGTGCAGCACCGCCTCCAGCAGTTATCAGGCAGGTGTTCACTTTCCACCAAGCACATCTCCTTTATCTTTGTTTGGCAACTTTTGCTTTAGAATCCAGAGCTTTGAAGTTCACACTAGATAAACCACCACTTATTTGGGTCAGGGATGTATTTGGTAGCTGTGATGGTCTGAGACAAAAATAAGTGCAAAACTCTAGAACTCCTGGTTCAGAGATATGATACTTTTATTAGACCAACGAAGAAATCACAAAAATATGTTTTTGGTTGACATCAACTAATGCATTTCCATTGAGCACAATATATACCAATACTGTGCTAGTTAGCAGCTATTATTGAATCAGTGAGTGATCTGGGAGTCATCCTCCAAAAAGTAACTATCCTTCCCAGGTAGAAAGTTGTATTAGGTATTTTTGTTAATATGGCACCTTTAATCCCAGATGTTAATGTTTATTTTAAAAAAATAATTAGAGGATAGACTTTTTAAAATTGCATTTTATTTTTGAAAACACTAGAAAGCCAGTTAATTCTAAAGCACAGTTTAAATGATAAAATACCAAGAGTAAAAGGTTATGGAAATGTACAATTAAGATCACACATAATTCTGTACCCTAGTTCATCACTTTAGCACAAAGCACATCAGATGGCTAAAACAGATCCATACTTCTAAAACCCTGCACACCATGGTGTGGCCCCAATCTTTTCATTATTGCTAACAACTTTAAGAAGTCTTAAGTTTGGGGCTGGTCCAGGTAGATTTATCCTCTTTGTTTGTAAATAATGAAGCCAGCTCAAATTCATGCTGACAAAGACAGCAGTAGGAAAAAGAGAGAGAGTGGAAGGAGCCTTGCTGGCCAAGAGTCCAGGAGCCCACTGTTCAGCAGAGCTAGGCAACTCTTTTCACTGAAAATTGCATATTTGGGTCAACTGAACAACTTGCAGATTTGCATTAAAATGATCATAATGTTTCAGCCAAAAAAAAGGAAACAATTCAAGGGAGTCATTTTTGTTTCTTCAAAAATGTTGACCAAAACTGATTCATTTCCAAATTATGTTTAATTTGGAAATTCCATTAATTTAATTTTAAAATAAAACCCCGAAGCCAAATTTTTAAAATATTTTATATCGAACAGAAGCATATTTTTTACATTTGGAGGGGTGGAGTTTACTTTTCACCTTGACATATAAACCAGAATAATTTGTTAGGATTGACACAAAATGAATTGTCAGTTTTTGATATGGCTCACAAACCAGAAACCCAGTTATTCATAAATCCTTATTCAGCAGCCTCTTACCTCTTTGAAATACATGCATGTCAAAGCTTGTTCTCTGCCTTTATAAAAAAAGACAGGTGACATTTGGCTGAAGACTTGTGGGAATGGGAATCACTAACTTTTGGACAGAAGATTTAAGGATGTAGCCAGCAGTTTAGGTAAGGATTTTGTGGTGTGGAGAGGGTAGAGAAGATTAATTTTAGGAGCTGAAATTTTAAGAGTTAGGGGGAATAGAATAAGTCAAAGTAAATTCACAAGGTTCTTTGTCAGGGTTCCTCTTCCCTCACAGTCTTCTCAACTGGTGCAATACCACAACTGAACAATACTGAATCCCATTCTTCCATCATTTGTCTCTTTTTTTTTTTAGATAAGACTCTCAGGTAAAAGGGACTGTTTCTTCCTGCCCTGCTGTAGGGATGCAGTTGCCACAGCAACAAACACTGCCATATATCCTGTGTGTAGTAATGATATTATCCTGTACTTCCTTGCCCTGCTTGGCTTCAGTCTCCACTGGTGACTTGCACTGATTTTATAGTACAGATTCTGACTCTGGCCACACAGTGGAGCTGTTGCTTTGCTTTATCATAGTGTAGTGTCAAATAACTTGAAACACATTTGTTCCAATTTTGCTCCTTTTTGTACTCATCTTAAGGGGACAAGAGAGTCATACAGAACATGGTCCACTAAACATGTGGACCATGAGGACCAGGAAGCCACAGCAGGAGTGAATTTGGTGAGCATTTATGGGGACCTCCTGAATATATTGTAAGGCATTGATTTATATGCAGTGGTTTCTCACATTCCCAAGTAAAAAATTAATAATGCATCAATGCTGATAGATTAGTTTTTCTAGTAATGTTACAGTGGGACTGGGGTTTTCAAGGAACCCTCTAAAACTGTTTATGAAAACTAGTGAATGCGAGTTCCTATTTACACACAGGTCCAGATCCTATTACAGATATTAGGTATACAGCTGGACTTAAATGCCTAACTGTGGTCCTATCCCACCTGGCTCAGATCTCTGCAAAAATACTGATGTGCCTTTTTTTTTAAACACTCTGTCATATTAGCCTTAAAATTAAGTCACAGAAAGCACTGAACAGGAGGAAGACGCATCTATCTTGTCATGAACAGTTTTCCAAGGAGGGATAGGATCATACTTAGGGGCTGAATAGGTGGAATAAAATCTGGTTCATAGTAGATAACTGGGCTTTCAGTTAGCTGATGGGAAACTACAAGAACCTTTTACCTTGTATGACTTAACTTTGATTTTACATTGCCCATTTAAAAAAAGTGTTCTACTTAAACCAAGGGTTTTAAACTCATCCAATCCCATAAACTAGAGGAGCATTCCTGAGCCAGTCTATGGGCTGAACAGAGACAGACACTCCTGTGGAGTAGCCACAGTGTCAGGTCCAGCCTGTCTGCCACAAACAGCATGGTCCAGTCCCTCAAGCCAGCACAAGGTGTACTCTGCCCATGGCATGCAAACTGAATCCAGCACTGCAGGCAGCACAGGAGTGTGGGCCAGGGCACAGCCCCACATGCTGCATGCAGCACACACTGGGTTAGGGGCTTGCTGTGCCCACATACCCTGATACTGGTATGATGTGCATGCTGCCCATGGAGTGCAGGCTGGATCCAGCACTGCACATGACAGATGTCCAGGGTGCAGGCTGCATGCACCCCCCCCAGACCAACCCCCCGTGCAGCTTGCAGCACATGAGGCATGGGGTCCAGCCTACATGCAGCATGCAGGGCTGGCACATAAACCTGCAGGCCAGATCATATGGCTCTGTGGGCTGGATTTGGCCTGCACGCTGTATGTTTGATGCCCCTGACGTAAACCATACGAAAACTGGGACATGGATTGCATGTTAACCAGGAATATTTCAAAAGGAATACTCCACACACATTTTCAGTGCATGCAATGTAAATCCATGGAAACAGCAATTTATAACTGACCTACATGAGCTGTAATACAGTAAAAAGCTTAGGTCACACACCCTACATTTCTAGTTGAAGGCACTTTTACAACTCAGCCTTGGTTTATGAATATGGTACAAATTCATGCCCTGCCAACTGCTACTTCATTATATCAGTGGGGCTGTGGTAACACAGGTTTTGCAGTAACTGTCCTAATTTGGGTGCTTCCATTGGTTTGTGGCAATGCTGTTTAAATTACCGTTAAACCAGATTGAGTTTCCCCCCCGATTTTTTTAAAGAAAAAAAGTCCTTTGATCAACATGGACTAAAAAAATTCAAGCTACAAATCTCAAAATTATTTCAGGAATGAACATTTTGCAGGACCCCTTTGCTGCATCTGCTTCACATGTTAGCTCCAAAGAGCTTAATCTGCACTTCATGCCTATTTACATCCCAGACCGTTTCAACTCTGGCCTCTCTTCATACCCTGCAGTGACTAGGTCACCCAAGCCATTAAAATCTCTGAAAGAAATGTGTATGCAGGCTGTGGCAGGTTCTTTAATTTATTCTTTTCCACATCAGAACACATTATGCACAGAGAAGACTGCAAAAGGAGATGCAAACTCTGCATGCCTTCATCTAAAAGCTTCCCAAAACCACATGATTACACTCCCAACTCATGTCTTACAAATAAGTCTTTAAAAGACCCAAATAGTATATTATTTCTAGAGCACCAGGGATGTGAAAATATATCAAAATAAAAGCAAAGATGTCCCTCTTAACCAATGTAAGCCATGCTCTAAAAGGCAGGACATGCTACTTCCCTGTGTTAAAAAAGAAGGGAAATGCATGAGAAACGGAATAGGACTGATGACCTATAGCCCATTTTGTTCCATATTTCCCCAACCTCTTGATGAGCATCCACTTCCACATCTTCATGTCCACCTCTTTCATTAATTTTGTCTACTTGCTGCCAAGCTTGTGCTTCGATGTCTTGTGGATCCACCAACCCCCTTTCCTACCCTCCTGCCCCTCCCACTCTGGTCCAGTCAATCTAATAGTAGTCCAATGATATAGATGTGGCCAGTCACCTCCTCTGCCTGCCTTAGTAATAGGCATCCTCATAAATGTCTGTGCGCAGGCAGTAAAGGATGGCTGCACCCAGCATGAAGATAGCAGATCCCCAGCCCAGGCCATACCCCCAGTTGAATTCATGGTAGCTCCTCAGCATGCTGCTGTCGATGAATTTGATTGGATAGAGAATCAAAGCGCAGACCTGCAAGACCACTGGGCCAAGGAGGAAATGGGGTGAGGAAAGAGTCATCTGGTTAAAATCTAAAATTAAAAAGCTGTTGTTGAATTGATTGGTCTAGTACACATCCTTCCACCCAGCCTGTTCTTGAGCAAAGTATCATAGCCTACTTTCCTTCAACCATGCCTGGCCACGCAGGCTGCACCAATGTTGTGATCTTCCTCATCACAGTGCCCTGTGAAGCTGTTAGGATGCCAGTATCATAGGTTTCCTCAAAGCTCAACAGCCATTCCTATCAGCTCTGGTCCATTTGTGAGCCTCCTCACGGGGGCAGCCTGCTGATGCCATCTAGGACATGTTCTCTGTGCTGGAACTCCCTGCCAGCGCTTTTCAGTGGACTCTGCACTCAAGCTCTCTTCACTATTTCAGAAAAGCCCCAAATACTTAATCTTCAAAAATTAGAAGAATCTGTTTGTTGGTAATCTTGATATCTCCCCTCCCCTCCCCCTTTCAGACCACCCAGACAAGTACACTAGAGCCATGTTTACAAATCAGTGCTATTTAAAAACCTAGTACAGAACTGTATTGTATTTGATTTATATAAAGCAGAGGCTAACTGCGGATGTTTTTGGTTTAGCAAAAACTGTCAGAAATTTGGTTGTGCAAAACTAGAACAAGTGGTGGTTGAGATCCTTATCCTAGCTGCTTTTAAAGCCAATCAAGTTAGTGGCCTAAAAGTGCTCAAGCAAAACCCATTGGACGGTTTTAAAGAGGTAAAAGAGGTCAGATTTTTAATTTAAGGTAGAGGTCAGAAAAGGATTTAATAGTTTCCTTTCTTCTTCTCTGTGATGTTCACTCATTCCAAGGATGGAACTAAGACTGATCAGTTTTGTATTAGTTCATAATTCGTTTCTAATCAGTTCTGTTCACTGGCATGATGTTGGTTTTGGGTTTACAATTCCTCAGGGAATTTGTATTCCAAACAGTTTCCACTGAAAGTGTTATATTGATAGTGTTTTTTTATTCATTCATGTAACACAGAAGTTGGAACCTAAACTAAACTATCACAAAAATGAAATGATTATGCTCTGAAACCTTATAAAACTTTTGTCAAAAGTAAACAAGAATCATCATCTAAAAACATGGCCTTCTAATATTTTCTAGCAATATTCCAATATGTTATATATTAAGGTAGCTTTATCATGGCCCAGAGTTTGGTAGGTGAGATTATAAATGGTAGAAAGTGAAGCTGTTCACTGCCTCCTTGGGGAATATGTTAAAGCTAGCTGTTAATAGCTGGATAAATTTTGGACAGTCCATCACCAAGGATCTTATGGGCAAGGGGAGTATGAGGGCTGTACCTCATGTCTATATATAAAATGGTTACTTCTGCTGGTCTTCAGTGCAGAGATACAGCCCTGACAGACTACAGGTCTCAAGATACTAGGGATTTATATAAAAGTGCTCCATGTACGTTTTATAGAGCTATAATTCAAAGCACTTTTTTATAGCACTATAAAGTTACAGCACTCTTAAATATGACAGAAGTACAATGTTTGGTGGAGGGGCCTCTGAGCCTCCCTGCATTTTCCAAGCTAGGAGGCAGGGGGTGCCCCGCAGTTTTCTGGGGCTTCCCTACTGGTCAGAAATGCGACTAGTGTACAGAAGTTCTTTAAAGCACTGTAGGTTGCTAAAGTACTGTAAAATACAGCACTTAAAATTTAACACCTCATTTAACAAGGGTTAATTTAAAGCGCTATACCCATTTTTAAAGTGTAAAGCCATTCACTTCTGTTAAGTCACAGCAGTATAGTACTTTAAATGGTGAAAAAGCAACTTCTGTACACACCCTAAGGTTCCCATCCTGAGCCCCTAGGCCATACTTCTGTATAAAAGATCATTAGGGTTTAAATCACATTGCACAACTCCATGGATCCTACAGAACTATAGATTCCATTTTGGAATCTTCTGGGGCCAATAAATCTGACATGATTTTAGTGCAGTTGCACAAAACACAACCCAGAAGAGAGTTTATCCCATAAAATAACAAAAGTATGAATATGTAGTCTATTTATAGAGCAGTGACTTACCTGCAGCAAAGAGGAGAACAGCAACAATTCTGTAATATCGCCTATAGGTCCCCAGGCAGAAGGAGATTAGGGAGACAAGAAATGACAACAAGGTAATGGTAGCTGCTGTCAGGATTAACACCAGAGTAGCTACTTGCCAGTCTAGAAGAGGAAAGAACACAATTGGGAAGGAAAATACTCATCAATGACAAAACATATTCTTGTACCGTCAAGGAGCGAGAGCAGACATTCAAATATTGGCACCCATGGCCTGGATTTTCCTCTGATCTTCAGTAAAGCTAATGCCAAACCATTTATAGTGCTTCATATCTTCAAAATGCTGCATCAGCATCACACATTATTCTGCAAAGTGTTAACGTTAAAAAAAAAAGAAAATCTTTGGTGGTAAGGACAAAGAAAAATTACGGAAGGAATCCTTAGCTTGAGACAGCTTGGAAGTTTGGACTAGGAAATCTGGTACCAAGTTATCATATTCTTTGCTGAATGGCTGCCGAAACAGTCTTATGAGGAAAGCTGAAGAAAGTCCTTCCTTATTTGTGACTAAGATAAGTTATGAGAAATACTTAGAAAATAATACAAGGATGAAAGGAAACAGTCATCTTAAGATGCCCCTTAGTGCCTTGTATCTTGGATTTATTTTCCAAAGGTAGCAGATTGAATTTTACAGCCCAGTTTGAGAACTTGCTTGTTTTTGGGAGAGCCCTCAGAAACCTGAAAGATCCACACAGCAATTTTGTTTTTTGCTGAGAAGGCCATGGATCCAATTTATAACCAGACAGTTCTAACTTCTAATTACTGTACTTCAGTGGCAAAGTCCTTTTTAACCAGCAGTGAGTTTGACCTTCACGTCTGTTTCATCTTAAGCACTTGGTCCCATGTGATTCAAGTTGTACTTTGTGTAGCTTTAATAAGAGATAAAAAGTTTAAAATCCTTGAGACTAAGCTCATCTAATTTTCCCTATAAAGAAACAATTAAAATAACTTTAAAAATCTTACCTTTGAATAAGTCAAACTAGTGAATGTACCACTCCTAAAAATCACTGCAGAAGGCAAATACAACTTTTTTCCAAGGTCAGCCACTAATATCTCTGTAGTTCCACAATGTCTTGCCTGATGGAATCTAGGGAGTTTGCCTTCTTTTTACAATGCTATTAGATCAGGTCCCAGACGCCCCACAGCAATTTGTTACATTTAGAAGAGATGTGTATTGAACCCTCCCAGCCCTTCTGTTCATCCCAGTGCTGTCTCTGCTGCCAACATCTGCTGCAGAGAAGGAACTATGAAAGGGCCCCAAACACTCTTGCTGGAGAATTACTGACTTTGCTTTGTTATTTGGGATTTGTTGTTATTTCAGGTGGTGTCAGAGCCAAATGGCCAGATGACAGCACAAAAGGACTTTGGGATGCTGTACTTATCTTTGGTTTGCTTCCCTGATGGAGAGAAGAGGAACCTAATCTGTGTTCTTATATCACAGGGCCAGTCTTCAAACATGTTGTCACCATTCAGTCATTGTACATCTGAATGGAGTGCAGCAGCTTATATTGGGAGCTTATATTACCCTAGATTTAGGTACACTATTCTGCCTAACACCAGCAAGAATTTTGCACCGATGCAGTCATACGTTCCAGATCTTACTGCTTGTATTCTAGCCAGAGGATGACTGGAAGGGATTTCTCTCATAAGATAGACTACGAGGGTGCATTTACACATGCAACTGATGCACCTGAATTTTCTGTGCAGAAAATTCAGGCTCATGAAAGTGCTCCCAAGCGCACATCTACACGTGAACCCATGTCGGGAGCAGACTGAGCCAGACAGGAGCAGCCCAGTCCAGGACTGCTCCTGCCCTGCTCTCCTCCCCTGCAGCAGCCAGGGAGAGCTCCAAGCTAACCCTGGTGCCAGCCCCGGCTGGTAGGGACACAGGGATTAGTCCTGAGCCCTGGGAGAGGGGTGCCAGGAGCTGTCCCAGAGTTGCCAGCCCAGCTGGGACAGCTTTCGCCCTTGCCCTGCAGAGATCAGCAATAGCCAGGCAGCGGTGTAGCCCCCTGCTACCTGGGCTGACCCGGGTAGTACAGTGCATTAGTTAATGTGTCGGTTTTCTAGTAACTGTACCTACAGGTACTAGAAAATGATGCATTAGACTAATATACTGATCAGTAATTGCTGCACATGTGTAGATGGTGATGCTTTACTGCTCATTAAATTAGACTAATGCTCAGTAAAGGTACGTGCTGCTTCTGTTGGGAGGCTAAGTGCTGCTCCTATTGTTGTCATTACCACCACCACTGCCATTGCCACTTAGGCCCCCCAACATCATGGCAGTTACTGCTGCCATGTGAGATCCCCGTGTCATGGCTGCAGTGGGCTCCCTACACATTGGCTACTGCCACCACCATGCAGATTCCCCAGAAGCTCTCATTCTGGCACACCCTCTGAATCAGCTCCTTTGACTGGTGCCCCACTCAGCCTCCCATAATTATGCCATGAGTCCTAACTGTTGGGCTAGAAGGTGAGACGGCTCTCCTTTTCCTCCACTTCATATGTGGCAGGGTCCATGCCCTGTTTTGTCACAGGGGAACAGAATCCTAAAGTGTGCTTAAGTACCAAAAAGTACAGTTACAAAGCTGTGTACATGCCATTTAGGCATGTAAAGTAAAATAGGATTTAGCCCATTAAGTCCTCTTGGGCTTATCTTTTGTTTCCTACATAAACTTAGGAAATAGATAGCACTGTTTTCTTTCATGTCATGATTTTTCCATTTTAAAGGAAAATTTTGATATCTTCCATGTTGTATAGTTTTCTGGCTTAGCCTGTTTTTTTCCCCAGATCTAGGGATGGATATTCTGTGCCCAGAAGCTTGCCTAACATTTCTCCCAACTATATAGTTAGTACAGTAAAACATATCATAGAAGAAATCTTGTTCCTCACTTATTCCCTGGACCATCATGTCTACAACAACACTGCTAAATAACTGTCTGCATTTGTAGCTCATCATGATTCAACTGGTCAAATTTTTAATGAGGTTGTTCAGTTGGATAGCACATAATTCCTCCTATGGTGACACTGGTGAGTAATAGTGTTATTCAGTGTTAAAAGGATGTTGCCACCTACTCTGGAGGGGGCTGCATTCTATGGTGGAGAGTGGACATGAATATAGCTAATGATCAGTTCCTAAATTTCTGGACGTTTTGAGGAGTTTAGGATGAAAAAATACTATTGTTTGTAGCATAATTATATACCGTGTGGCACTTCTCTTGTCCTAGCTGTGCTACACAGGGGGCATGTCTACACACCGCTGTATGGCAACATTGCTATAGAGCTGTGCTTTAGTACTTCGTTCTGGAAATACTAACACATGGCACAGTACAGTATGGGTGGTTACTGCACCTTGTGCACAGTGCACAGTTGGATTTCACTGCTATGTCACTATAACTGGGGGGGTGTGCTGCTATGACAACATAGCTGGTGATTATGTGTAGACCCATGTGATTGCTATGTTGCCATAGCGTGCTGTACAGTGAGGTAGCACATCACTACACCACCATAAGTACACACGTTCTCAAAGGCATGCAGTTTAAATAGACTAGTATTATCTCCGGTCTCTAGATTGGGATGTCAGGCACAGAGATTCAGGGACTTGTCAAAGGTCACAGGAAGCCTGTGGCAGAGCTAGGAAATGAACTCAGATCAGAGAGTCAGGGCAGGCCTTGAGCTCCAAGACGAAAAATGATTGGACCCTGGTGGTCTCTCCCCTCCAAAAGCACTTAGTCACTCTCTCAAACTTGCTAGTTCTCTCTCCTCAGGCAGGCAACACTCAGGCTGTTCCCACAAAAAGCCCAGCTCTTCTCTTGCTGTCAACACTGTCTAATGTCTACATGAGACATTTATAAAATTCAGAAGTGTGTTGTACTTGCATGTATCTTACACATTTGCTCCTCCAATGGTGGTATTCAAGAATCAGGCCAAAAGAATGATTAAATGAAGTGATTATCTGCTTCATTCAGGGCCTTGGATCTAGCTGTCTCCAAGATAAACCTTTAAAAAGTAGTTCTTCATGTCTATATCACCAAAGGATGTTACTTTGTAACATGCTGCTGCAACACCACAGTGATGATGTCATTCTATCCCTCAGCAAGAACTGATATATTTACAGTCTTGTTTCCCTGCTGGGAACAAGGAACTGAAACCCCAAAGCGAGACAGACTGAAGTCTAGGGATGGGAACAGCCTTTCAAAACCATTTTAGCACCAACACTGTGCCACTCTCCAAAAGACCCCTTGGCCATGATTTAGGACTTAAGCAGAACTCAAGTAGATATTCAAACCATGCCACCTTCCTGCCAGCCATATTAAACTCTTCACTGAGAACCGTGTGAACAGGGATAGAAAACAACTTGTTTCTCCAGAATCCTGAAGTTACTTTACTGTCATGAAGACACAAGACATACTATGACAAGCACTGAATTAAAACCAGGGTGTTGCAACATGGCCTTTTGAATCTTGCCTCTAGATTTATGGGACATTACAGGAGTCAAAGCATAATGCTGTGTGGATTTGTTTACCAAGCTTTCTGCATGCAATATTGTTGAGAAGAAAGACTAAAGAACGTCTTAGAACGGAAAGGAAAATACAGCTTCCTGTTCTGTTTCCCCTTCCCCCTACTTCCTCCTTCCCTCATTTTTGCCCTGATTTTGCAGATGATTGCACAGTATACATATACATGTAAGAGAACTCTTTTGTCAACCTGACCAAGTGTCAATACTGGTGATGCAGAAACATGTGACAATCATGAGCCAGCCTGTACTACCAATCACCAGTATGTCAAGGTGACATCTATTTCAAGACCCTTGCAAGGCTAATTCATTACCGATCCACTTCCTGTGTCACATACACCAGTGTAGGTGGCATGAAATTACCATTTGGATTATGAAACACTAGGTGATCAGCATGGTAGTTTCACACCCTCTTTGCATGGAGTTCAAGATGAAGGGCTGTGGTGAACTGAACACTCTGTCTTTTATAAGACAGGGAAATGCTCCCAAGAGGAAGAAAAAGCAGACTGGAATAAAAAAGTGCCCAAGGAGAGATGCAGGGGGTTAAATCCTGTGTTGAGAGTTCATTCTAATCTAGGCTGCAGCATGT